AAAGTTGCTGAAAATGTACTCCCTCTCATGTCATCCAAGATTTAAATCTGTTTGTTTCCTCGTGGTAACAGATTTAGAGAAATTCAGCACATCACTTGCTTACCAATGGATTCTCTGCAGTGAATGGGTGCCGTCAGAATGAGAGTCCAAACAGCTGATAAAAAAACATCACAAAAATCCACACTACTCCACTCCATCCATTAATGTCTTGTGAAGCGAAAAGCTGCATGTTTATAAGAAACAAATCCATCATGAATGCATTTTAACTTCAAACTGTTGCTTCTGGCCAAAATACAAGTTCTCTATCCATAATATGATTTCTCTAGTGAAAAAGTCCATCTCCTGTTGTCGTCTCACATCAAAATCCACCCACAAATTTGTTTAGAACAGTTTTTTTTTTGTAAACAGTGCTTTCACTGGATAAGGCAATTAGTATGGCTAGAGAACAGAATCTTAATGATGGATTTGTTTCTTACAAACACACAGCTTTTCACTTAACAAGATGTTAATTGATGCACTGGAGTGGTGTGGGTTTTTGTGATGTTTTTATCAGCTGTTTGGACTCTCATTCTGACGGCACCCATTCACTGCAGAGGATCCATTGGTGAGCAAATGATACAATGCTAAATTTCTCCAAATCTGTTGCGAAGAAGAAACAAACTCATCTACATCTCGGATGGCTGAGTACAGTTTCATAGAGACGGTATTAAAAACATTGCATCCAAGATCTGAAAGAAATGTGATGCATCACAGTGTGGTTGAACTTTTATAGGGAATTGTAACTCCACCCCTTCAGAGACCTCAACAAGCAAAAAAGATGCTTTGTTATCAGGGGAGAAGGAGTCCCCATCAGGCACCTCGACAAACACTCAGGTAAAAACATCACTTACCGTCAAGTCAGAAGAAAATAATCAAGGCTGGGAATGACTTGAGGGTGAGAAAATGTTTTGCTTTTTGTGTTTTGTTAGGAAAGTGAAGATGGTTCCCCACCCACAAAGAAAAGTAAAGTGGAATCATCTTCTCAGGACTTGGATAACTAAAGCTGACTAGTTTGCACCCACGTTTCAAACACGTCACTGTCACAAACCAATGAGGAAACCCGACCCACTTGACAAACCATTCCTGATCTTCAAATACAGCTTCACCTTCTTCTTCATCTTCTCACCTGGAGCGAACGTTTGCAGACGTCACTGTGCCAGTGAACCGAGGTTGATGGCAAACACTGACCTGATCCTGTGAGAAACCTGCAGCCTCGCTCCATCCAATTCATGCACGATATACAGCGTTAGTTTAACAGTAACGAGAGTGAATGCACTGCATAGATTTGTCAAGATAAAAGATGGATTTGCTGCTGTGATCATCTTTGTTTTAAAAATGTTTATTATTTAATTTAATGACTCTACTAGTTGTTTTCTAACTATTTTGCAGATTGTTGTATGGTTATAGTGCAGGTGTTTGGTTTGTTTATAGATTCTCTACTGGTTTGTGTGCCTTCTGGCTCCATGATGTGTGCTCTTTTTAAAAAAAAAAAAAATTTTTATTTGTGGCTTTTGTTTTTGAAGCTTTTCAAAGCATCACTGCTTTTTAAAGGGAGGAAGAATTTTTTTGTTATACGTCAAAATGACTTGATATATACCTCATTTCCAAACCAGCAGAGCTGGAACTTAATTCTTGATTGATGGACAATAAATCCAATTCACTGAACACAATCTGGCAGTTTTTAAATGATGTCATTTTCAACAATAAATTCACTCTGACTTCAATCTGATGTAGCAACGTACAAGGATCTCACAATGAAATACTCTATACATTGGGACCATGTTTTCTTGAAATGTTTTTGTCTTGTACAGTTGTTTTAATTTTGGTTTTATTTATTTCATCACTAGTGCTTGTTTTTAGCATATTCAATTTGTTTTAATAAAAAATGTTAACTGAGTTGGTTATGACTAGCCTATTTTTTGACTAGCCTATTTCTTTTACCTTCATGCCTCTTTTGATCTAAGTATTTTAGAGATTTTTTTTTATCATTTAAAGATTAATAGCCCTGGTAACACAGCTAAACGTTCCGTTTTGAAAAGGCCAAGAATGCTTTCATATTTATTATATAGTATACCACAGACGTATTTTTCATACATTTACTTGATGTTGCACAAGCTATGGCGTTGTTAACACGCCCCCTAACGACACTTTATCGCATTACCAAGCGCAAACTAATACATACATATTGTGCAGAAATTTTTTTGATACGGACATAATTTAAAGCGTTCACCAAAAACATGGGTATTAGAAAGCGAAAGAGAGGGATAGATCAAATATAAGACTTTTTTCACCACAACTAAGAATCCAAATTACATCGAGGCTGTATATGATTCTTAATAAACCTTTACCTGCAGTTAACCTACACCTAAACGTTATAAGGTTTAGAACATTACTCTCATATGTTTTTCGTTAACTTTTCAAGAGTTTGTTGATGTCATTCGTGTTAAGCATCTTACCTCAGATCTGGCGTCCCGTCAAACTGCGCGCGCTTTTCAGTCTCTTCAACGGTTTTTGATTTTTATAGTCTCGCGAGCTCGTTCAACAACTCTCTGCCATTCACAAAGTGAAATGAGAATAATAATTTATTTGATAAACTTTTGGCAGACGTGGTCAATTCCCCATATATATAGGTGCATCTCAAAAAATTTGAATATCGTGAAACAGTTCTTTTTTTAAATTTTTTATTTAACTTATTTCAAAAAGTGAAACTTTCTTACTAGATTCATTACATGTAAAGTAAAACATTTCAAACGTTTTTTTATTTATTTTTTTTTATTTTGATGATTAGAGCTTACAGCTCATGAAAGTCAAAAATCCAGTATTCTCAAAATATTAGAATATTTACATTTGAGTTTCATTAAATGACCATCCCTACAGTATAAATTCTGGGTATCTCTTGTTCTTTGAAACCATAATAATGGGGAAGACTGCTGACTTGGCAATGGTCCAGAAGACAATCATTGACACCCTCCACAAAGAGGGTAAGTCACAGAAGGTAATTACTGAAAGAGCAGCTGTTCACAGAGTGCTGCATCAAAGCATATTAAATGCAAAGTTGACTGGAAGGAAGAAAAAGGGTAGGAAAAGGTGCACAAGCAACAGGAATAACCGCAAGCTTGAGAATACTGTCAAGCAAAGCCGATTCAAACACTTGGGACAGCTTCACAAAGATTTTGGAGCACTTTATGCTTCCATCTGCTGACAAGCTTTATGGAGATGCTGATTTCATTTTCCAGCAGGACTTTAGCACCTGCTCACAGTGCCAAAACCACTTCCAAGTGGTTTGCTGACCATGATATTACTGTGCTTGATTGGCCAGCCAACATGCCTGACCGGAACCCCATATGGAATCTATGGGATATTTTCAAGAGAAAGATGAGAAACAGTCGATCCAACAATACAGAGAGCTGAAGGCTCAATAGTCCTCAGCAGTGCCTTTTCTGTTTTGCAAATCCTTTTTTTTTTGATTGATCTTAGGAAATATTCTAATATTTTGAGATACTGGATTTTTTACTTTCATGAGCTATAAGCTCTAATCATCAAAATTAAAAGAAAAAAACTTTTGAAATGTTTTACTTTACATATAATTAATCTAGAATATATGAAAGTCAAAAAACAATGTCACTTGTATTTTGGCCATAAACATACACTTCTAATTAGCAAACACCACTAATTATCCTAATTAGGTTAACAAAAAGCGTCAAATTTACATCAAAGATGCTATTTTCGTTATTTTATGTGGGGTTCAGAATTGTCTTATCAGGCTGCATTTTTAAGGGACATTAATTATTGACCAGGCCCCTTCTGTTCTATTTAGGAGCTGCAGGACGTTGTGATGGGATCTGTTGACCATCCTTGCGTGAAATTGAGAGACTATGAGAGCGGCATTTCAAACTTTGGCTGTAAGCAGTTATAAAACTTTGAGATATAAATTTAGATGAAAGATCAAGACTGAAAATCATTCAATGATGAATAGGTGAAGTGGTTTTATTATGTAATAATTGTATGCAACGTATGGATCACACCACTGACTTAAAATACTGAATCTAAAGTGCGTCTAGAATTGTCCTTATGACGTTCATGAAATGTTTGTGAAATGTTCACAAAAACATGGTCAGAATCATTGTGTAGTCAGAAAGCGCAATATAGTCAGACAGAATATAACGACACGAAAAATCTTTGAATGTTTGTATTGAGTTCAAGTGAATATACAGTACATGAAACAGTACAATAGTTAAAGACTGTCACAATATTTCAGTAGAAACAGACCATATATTTGAAATTAATGCAAAATTTTCTGATCAAATTCATATAAACCAAAGGGGAATAATCATGAATATTATACATATTTAATATAATCTTGTGCACCATTTCATTGCGGGTTACCAATTCTAACACTTGCAGTTTATTAGGTTGCTAAATAAACTGTTAATATTACATCAATAATAAGAGATACAATATGATCTTGTGCTTAAAAATTGTGCTTTAGTAAAGGCCTGTTCACACCAAGTTTGAGGTGACTAAAATATACGGAATTATAAAATATTTGGAAGCCATTTTTTGCACCAAAACAATTCTACACTGTTTTTTGATGCAGAATTTTCTCCATTCTCTGAAAAAAAAAAAAGTCTGGATACCTGAAGTAACTGTTCGGCATTTTAAATAAATCAATCTTGAATCCGTACACAAAAAAATGTTAAATCTTAAAATCTTGCCGTGCATTTATTTTATGCCCAAAAAAATCGGACTTGGTGTGAATAGGCCTGAAATCTACAGGACATACCATCAAAATACACATAAAAATCCATTCATATGACATTATTATAACTATATGTCTGACGTTTAACAGTAAAAATAACTTAGTTCCAAACAATGGCAGTTAAACTCATGTGCTGTACACATTTAAAGTGAGAAGTGCAATAGTTAATAGTGGTTAGCTTCAGCTTTGTTTGGTGCACTTGTTGTACTGTTTTACAGTCCGTTACGAGTTCTTCAAGCTGAAGTGTGTAATTTTGTTTCATTAAAATAACTTCATTAAAATCTTCTATCCTGGTTTAATATGCACAGACAACTGTAAGAAAACCATTCGTAGGGCGAATTACTGAATAGTGCAACAACTGTGGCTGTGTTCGGAACAGCATACTACATACTACAGTATGTATACTGTGCATAGTATGCATAATTTCTGTATGCATAGAATACCTGGGTGAAAATGTGCAGTATACAATCAGATCCCATAATGCAATGTGCTCGACACGAGTCGATTCAACATGAGTAACGAATAAGCTGAAATTAAAATCCACTATAATTTTTTACAAAATTTAGCTTAATTTTTATTGTTGCATAATGCGTACCATTTCACATGCTATCTAAAAAATAGTGGGCAGTATTCAGTGTATACCGACTAGTGTGCAGTACGCAGTGTGCTAGTATACCAATCCAAACACAGGCTACAGATTTGTGGAGCTTTCAAAAGATTGCTGTTTGTTTGAGCGCCCTGAAATGTCAGCTTCTGACTCAACCAATAGGTTGACTTTGGGGTGGAGCTACAATAGTAGAGAGAGGAAAACCTGTTTGGAAACAGTCATTATTTTTGCAATTCCATTTTGTGCCAATAGAAATTACACACAGCAGCTTTAAATACACTGCAAAGTATCGCTAAACCGTTCCCAATTTTCTTGCTGGTAATTCATCATTAGATAAATCAACACAGGACAGTGAAAAACGTATGAAACACACAAAACAGTGTTGATAACAGAAATATCTCTCGCCTTCATAACATTACATTTCCATAAATGCAGCATACCTTAGCTTTCATTTGGGCGGATTCATTTAGGGAATGTACAAGAGGTTCGAATGTATATATGCCGTGTACAAAAATAGCGTATAATCTGGTTGAAAGCAAACTGTGCATAGCCTGCTCATAGGCCGAGGGGTTGAGGGGAAGTTCAGAAGGTTTGGTCATCGTTGCAAGAGTCTGTCCAGTGACCGAACGCTTCACAGATGTCGCAGTATGGTCGTTCGCCGCTGCGGCTCCCGTGGTATGTGGTGTGTGGAGGCGAGTCTGGGGATTGCGTTTGAGTGGGACAGTCCTCCGTGTCGTGCAGGTCAAAGCTGTCACAGATGTCGCAGAAAACGCGTGGTGGGGCTTTCTTCTTCTTTTTGACCTCACCAAGACTTGAGAGACAGAGGATAAAATTTTTTTATTTTTCGTAAACCCTGTGCGAAGAATAATAATAGCTACGAAGATGCAAGTAGTGCAATGCTTGTCAAGTATGTACAACATGACCATGTGCCAGGGTTATTACAGTTAACAGAAACAAACAAACAAAACAAAATAATAATTTAAAAAAATAATAAGAAACATTTTTCATTTTCATTTAGTTTAACTTGATGTACTAAAACTGAAATAAAAATTTATAAAAACTATAGACGTTTAAAAAAAATTATAATAATGACAAAAACACCCAACAAAATTACTAAAACTTAACTAAATAAACTTAAAATGAAAATGGAAAATACAAAACTAAAAACAAACTCTAAATATTAATAAAAAACGGAGTCTGCTAGACAAAAAAAAACTTGTCAAGATGTCAAAACTCAATTGGACGCACCCTTCATTTTCATAATTTCCGTTGAACTCGGTCAATGCCATTTTCTTCAGCTTCACCTTTAGTTCTTCATTCTTCCTCTGGAGGTCCACAATGACTGAGTTCAGGAAGTTGATCTGATCCATGCAGGAAAACATGGCAGAATTTAGAAATGTACAAATATATCCTAAAAACAGAATCCAAATAAAGAGCAGAAGAGTTTTACCTGTCCCTCAGCAAACTCTTTCTCTTCTCTCAGTTGGTCTATAGCAGCATCACCTACAGGTGAAACAAACAAACAAATTAAAGGGTTAGTTCACCCAAAAATGAAAATTAGCCTGTGATTTACTCACCCTCGAGGCATCCTAGGTGTATATGACTTTCTTCTTTCAGACGAATCCAATCGGAGTTATATAAAAAATTGTCCTGGCACTTCTAAGCGTTAGAATGGGGTAGGTGTTTTTGTTCAACAGTCCAAAACATGTTAAATAAAGTGCGCGTATCCATAATAAAACGTGCCTCACACGGCTCCGGGGTGTGAATAAAGGCCTCCTGTAGCGAATCCATGCGTTTTTGTAAGAAAAATATCCTTATTTCAAACGTAATAAACACTTTTCTCTCACTTCATCTAACTGTCGAAAGATTTGTTAAAAATGTTTGTTTCGTTTTAGATTCATTTTTCATACTGCAAATGGAAATAAAAGTAGTAATACTGTATGTATTACTCAAACTACTTCCATTTCCAGTGTAACAAAACAATTCAAAGCAAAAGCAACAGAAAAGTCATTTTTAACATATCTGAAGACATTTTTACATAAAATTGGATTAAAAATAGAAATAAAATAAAAACATTTTTCTGAGATAACTTGATGGCATTTCCTGAATTAAACATGCAAATTCATTGATCAAATAATGGCAGGCTTGGTGAGCAATCGAGACTTTTTCAAAATATTACAAAATCGTTCCACAAGCTTTTAAATGATGAATTAAATGTGAATTAAAGTAGCTGGCAGTATACAGTATACAGTACACAATGCAAAATGCTGTCATTCCGTTCCAAATATAAATACGCTGACAGACCTGAACTGACTTCCTCTCCATTCCCCGTCTGCCGGACCTCCAGCTTTTGCTCCAGGCTGTTCACTCGGCTCTGCAGCTGGGCTTTGTCCCTCTCTAGAGACGTCACAGCTGACTGGAGTGTCTTGGCCATGGCATTTTCCACACGAAGCACTGCAATCTGGAATGACAAATTATTTTTTCCCCCTTATTCAACAATATTAAGTGCCAACAATACAAAGTTTTATATAAAAAGAAAAAAAAAAAGGAACTGCTTTAGACAGCTTTAGTCTTTTATGAATTTAATCTACTAGAAGCATTCTTTTTATATAAGACAAATTCAGTCATAGTCCACAGTGAATAAAACATACTTTGAAGAATGATCCAGAGGTTTAGTAAGACTTAAGAAACCCAAGAGTCAAAGTTCTTACCTCATTTCGTAGTGTCTCTAGCTCTTTGTCTTTATCAGACATCATTGCATTGGAGTTCTCACTATGAGGACAGACAAGAGCTCACTGTAACTGGTTGGATTTACAGTCATGTTACAAAAAGCCATATGCACTCTGAGAACATGCATAACACCATCTCTCAATGGAGCTTCAAAGATTAAAAGCTTACAGAAAAACATGAAAAAAAATGAACAGACATCCAGTGGGACTGCGCAGTATTTTTAGGGTGGAGGAAAACAATAGATCTGAAGCCAAAAACTTTTTTTATTTGAGCTTTTCTCTAGATGTGGTAATCTTGGTATATCATAAAATACTGATCTGTAAAGAACGTGTACTGACAAGCTTTTTTGAAAGCCTTAATTTCCCACGAGATGAAATGATATTTAAAGCCTCCAGATTGCATGTGATCTCAAATCCAGCTCTCGTTTGAACAATTACTAAGACAGAGCTCCATTAAGCACCATCAAAAGCATCTGTGACATGTTGTTTATAACCACAGATAATAAATGTGGTTTTTGAAAGCTTGTGAAGAAATTTCAAGGAATAGTTCATCCAAAAAAGAACATTTGCTGACAATGTACTCACCCTCAGGTCATCCAAGATGTAGATGAGTTTGTTTCTTCATCAGAACGGATTTGGAGAAATGTAGCATTACTTCGCTTGCTCACCAATGGATCCTCTGCAGTGAATGGGTGCCGTCAGAATGAGAGTCCAAACAGCTGATAAAAACATCACAATAATACACAAGCAATCCACACCACTCCAGTCCATCAATTAATGTCTTGTGAAACAAAAAGCTGCATGTTTGTAATAAACAAAT